CATATACAGCCTTCATTATGTTTGACATGTGTTCATTGTATGCCTAATTTAAGAGTTTTTATCAGGAATAGATGTTGAAATTTGTCAAATGATTTTCTGTGTCTCTTTAAATGATAAAATAATTATTTTCTTTCATTCTATTAATGTGATGTATCACATTGATTTGCATATGTTGAACCATCCTTGCATCACTTGGATAAATGGCACTTAATCATGGTGAATGATCCTTTTAACATGCTGCTGAATTCAATTTGCTGGTATTTTATTGAGAATTTTTACATCTATATTCATTATGGATATTGGCCTGTAGTTTTTTTTTTCTAGTAGTGTCCTTTTCTGGCTTTAGTATCAGGATAATGCTGGTCTTGTAAAATGAGTTTGGGGAGTTCTTTCCTTGTTGATTTTTTTGGGAAGTGTTTGAGAAGGACTGGTGCTAATTCATCTTTAAATATCTGGTAAAATTCATCAGAGAAGTCATCTGGCCCTGGGCTTTCCTTCATTGGGAGATTTTTGATTACTAATTCAATGTCCTTAGCAGTAACTAGTCTACTGAGATTTTATATTTCTTCCTGATTCAGACATTGTAAGTTGTACATTTACCTTAATTTATTTCTTCTCTAACACTCTTCCCTTCTTTATGTAGACCCAGGATTCTGACCTATAGCATTGATTCTCTGAAGATCTTCTTTTAACATTTTTTACAGGGCAGATATGCTGGTATGGTAAAAAATTTTCTCAACGTTTATCTGAAAAAGTCTTTATTTCTTTTTCACTTTTAAAAAGAAATTTCACTGGATACAGAATTCTAGTTTGCTGGATATTTTTTCTTTCAACAGTCTAAATATTTCACACCACTCTATTCTTGCTTGCCTGTTTTCTGAAGATTAGTCCAGTGTAATTCTTATCTACATTCCTGTATGGGTATCCCTACCCTACTCTGCCTTCTTTCAAGGTTTTCTCCTTGTTTTTGTTTTTCCAGTTTGACTAAAGTATTCATAGGTGCAGATTTTAAAAAAATATTTATACTTCTTTGTGTTTTCTGAAATTCCTGGATCTGTGGTTTGGAGCCTCATTAATTTTGGAAATTTTTCAGTCCTTGTTACTTCAAATATTTCTTCTGTTACTTTCCTTCATTCCTGTTCTTCTGTTATCCCCATTACATGTTGTATGCTACACCTTTGTAATTGCCACATGGATCTTGGATACTCTGTTCTACTTTTTTTTTCACTTTTTAAATTAGTTTCAGATGTACAAAACAATGTAATAGTTAGACATTTACAACCCTCACAAAGTGACAACCCCCCTCCCACAACCTACTATTCCTCTGACATTGCACATAGATGCTACAATTCCACTGACTCTATTCCTTATGCTGTAGTCCACATCCCATGACTATAAATATATAATTATAGTTGACATTCAATATTATTCAGCTTCAGCTTCAGCTTCAGTTGCACAGCACAGTGGTCAGGCGTCTACACCATCCATGAAGTGGTCTCCCTAATAAGACAAGTGCCCATCTGATACCCTACAAAATCTTGACAACATTATTGATTATATTCCCCAAACTGTCTTTCATATCCCCATGACAATATTGTGACTACTAATTTGTATTTTTTAATCCCTTTACCCTCTCCCCCATCCCCACCCTCCTCCCATTTAGCAACCAGCAGTTTTTTTCTCTATATCTTTGAGACTATTTCTGTTTAGTTTGCTCATTTATTCTATTCTTTAGATTTCACATATAAGTGAGATCATATGGTATGTGTCTTTCTCATCTGATTTATTTCACTTAGCATGATAGTCTCTAGGTCCATCCATATCGTTGCAAATGGTAAGATTTCATTCTTCTTTATGGCCGAGGAATACTCCATTGTATAAATGTACCACAGTTTTTTAATGCAGTTGTGTATCAGTGGGCATTTTGATTGTTTCCATGTCTTGGCAATTGTGGATAGTGCTGCAAAAACATAGGGGTGCATATATTTTTTTGAATTAGTGTTTTGGATTTCTCTGAATAGATACCCAAGAGTGAAATTGCTGGGTCATAAGGTAGCTCCATTTTCAATTTTTTGAGATACCTCCATATTGTTTTCCATAGTAGCTGCACCAATCTGCAGTCCCACTAACAGTGCACCAGGGCTCCCTTTTCTCCACATCCTTGCTAGCACTTGTTTGTTGATTTATTGATGATAGGCATTCTGACCAGAGTGAGGTGATATCTCATGTTGGCTTTTATTTGCATTTCTCTAATGATTAGTGATGGTGAGCATTTTTTTCATATGTGTGTTGGTCACCTATATGTCCTCTTTAGAGAAATGTCTCTTCATGTCCTTTGCCCATTTTTTAGTTGGGTTTTTTATTTTTATTTTTTGGTGTTGAGCTATATTAGGTTTATATATATAAATTTTGGATATTAACCCCTTATCAGATGTATCATTGGCAAATATCTTCTCCCATTCAATAGGACGCTTTTAGAAGAAAATATAGGAAGTAAATTTGCAGACATTGCCCTTAGTAATATTTTTATTGATATATCCCCTCAGGCAAAGAAGCAAAATAAAAAATAATCATATAGGATTACATCAAACTAAAAAGTTTTTTCACAGCAAAGGAAACCATCGATAAAACAAAAAGGCATCCTACTGAATGGGAGAAGATATTTTTCACTTTGTTTTTGATTGAAAGTTTCTACTGATGTATCTTCAAGCTTAAATTATTTCTTCACCCATGTCCAGAGTACTGATGAGCCAATCAAAGACATTCTTCATTTTGTTGGAGTGTTTTTGATTTCCAGCATTTCCTTTTGATTTTTAGAGTTTCCATATCTCTTAAATTTCCCATTTGTTGTTGTATATTTTCTACTTTTTCCATTCTTTTAGTATATTAATCACAGTTATTTTAAATTTCAGTACTGACAATTCTAAAATATCTGCTATATCTAATTCTGGTTCTGATGCTTGCTTTATCTCCTCAGACTGTTTTTTGCCTTTTTCATAACTTGTAATTTTTTTTGTTTGTTTCTTAAAATTCAGAAATAGTGTATTGAGTACAGGAGACTGAGGTAAACAGGCATTTAGTGTGTTTTTCTGGCTGGCAGTTGGGCTGTGTTTACTGTTTGCTGTAGCTATTGTATTAGTAGCTCTAACCCCCCCCCCCCCCGCCCCAATGCCCCAGTTCTCTTTCATTTTCTCTAGAGAATCCGTGTTAAATTGAGCCTGAGGTTTTCAATTCTCTCAGTTGTAATCCCCTATTATTATACCGAGTCCTGTTGTGGTGGTGGTAAAATGTGTAGGGAGGATAAGCATTCTCTAATTTTATGATTAGGCCTCAGTCTCCTAGACAGTCTATGTCCTTGGACTGTAACTTTCACAAGTGCTGTTCAGCTTTTTTTCCCTCTTAGGCGAGACAGGAAGGCTAGAAGAGGCTAGGGTTGAGTAATTTTCTTTCCTCACGTGGGCAACTAAAGGGGCTGGAGTTGTGTATCTCCTCCCTTCACTCACATCAATGGCTACAGGGTGATGGAGTTTAGTATATTCCATCCCAAGGTCAGTTCGGTTCTAGTAACACCAAGTAGTTTAAGCTCTGATAAAATAGTTTCCTTTCAGGGAAGGCCTTTGTTAAAGAAAAAGAATATTCTGGGCATATTTTGAAATGGTTACCTTTCATCTTTCCCTGCCAGGAGCATGAGGGAAATTTTCTCAGGTCTTCACACTGAGAACCTCCATGATGGGGCTACTGGAGGCAAAACGCATGAAAGCATAGGGACTCCCTAAGTATCTCTAAAGCTAGTTCCACACTGAGTCTCCAGCAGCTACTTAATTACCTTTTAAATGCTTCTACCTAACTCCACCCGTGGCTCTTGCTCCCTGTATGCTGTGATTCTCTGTATCTGCCTATCTCTCCAGTTTGAGGGATAGCTTTGCCCTATGAATTCAGTCTTGAATGGATTTAAAAAAGTTGTTGACTTCCAGACAGTTCCACTTTTTTTTCTTGGTGTGAGAACAGGAGTGCCACCTTCTAAGCTCTCTATATGTCAGACCGGAAACCAGAAGTCCTCTAAGTTTCCTTCCTTTTTGACATGTCTGCATTAATCAGTCCTTTTCTGACTTCTCATAATGTAATGTTTATAACTTTTCTGGCATTCTTTTTGTCTTTGCTTAACATTCCACTTTTATGGGAGATTTCTTCCTTGAGATGATAACCTCTTTAAAGTAAGACACCATAACTTATTTTATATGCTTAATAACTAATTAAATTCATTAAGACTTGGGACATAATATTAAAATATCTCATAGTTCCTCTATTGTCTTAATCCTAGGGTTTGGTGGAAGAATGCAAGTCTTTGGGAAAGAAATAATGGACCAGTTCTCCCAGATTTCCTGTTTGTAAGATAGTAGGGTTTTATTCAAGCAATATATATAAGGCCCACTTTCCTAAAGAAAGACTTCTGATTCTTTGAAGTTCCTAAAAACATCATCTAAACTTAAATTTGTATATATTACTAGAGGTTTGATTACTGAGTAAAAATAATACTCCTAATTATACAGTACTTACTATATGCATGTCACTATTACCAGCTTTCCCTTTATTATTTTTAGCCCTCCCAATAAATTTAATGGGTGGGTATATTTTTTATTTCTACTTTGTAGTTGTGGACACTGAGACTTGGAAAAATTAGGTGACTTCCAATGTCAAACAGTGATATGGAATTCAAAACGTGGAATTCAAACCCAAGTTTATGTGACTGTAGCCAACATTCTTAACTACTCTGCTACATGGTATCCTATGTACCTCTACTCTGCTACATGACCTCTCAATCCATCTCAACTCCATAAACCCCACCCTTTCAAATGAATTCCTTTTTATCTACCTTTCTCATTTAAATTATTAAACCTTATTGAAGAGAAACATACTAGCCGTCCTAGCCCAAGGCATCCAGTTGGTCTTACATGGTATTTTTCTCAACACAGCAAGTTTTGAGAGGGCAGTATACATACTATTGGTCAGCAGGTGATTCTGCTGCAGTGGATTGAGGGTAGGAGCACCCCCAAGGCCTGGCTGGCCAGCCAGGGCTGCATGAGTAATTCCATGTTGGGTTCCAGGAGCAGCATGAGGAGACTGCAACTTATCCTTATCCCAGGAGGGTTCACTTCCACCTGAAAAACATTTATATGAACAGTTTGCAATTTGACAGCTTTCTATGAGCAGGCTTTTTCAAAATTCCTTTTTAGGATTCTGATTATTAATATTATCTTTTTAGAAAATTAGTATTAAACATAGGTAAGTCATTTTAAGACGGTTGTAAAAACTTTCAATAGCCTTGGATTGAAGCTGCCTCTGGGAAGACTAAACAATTCTCATTAATAATATAGGCCAACTTGCCTTACAGATAGTCTAAACAAATCTGGAATCATAATAAATAGCTTTTAAAAGCACTTACATGGTGAAGATCATTAGCTGATGACTACTGCTTCCCATCCCAACCCTCTAAGATATATGTGCTATTTTAATGAAGAGCAGTTGCTGTTTACTCAGAAAGAGCACACTCATGTATAAGGGCATGATAGCATGCAAAAATATGTGTTAAGAAACAAAATTGTCAGTTATTTTGTTCTCAGATCCAGTCCTCAAAAAGCTAATCTCTTCATACACAGCAATCTTTTTTATAGAATAAGATGGATAAAATATAAAACTATGGCTTCCAATTTGAAATTATACTTTACTTTGATAATTCATGCTAGAGAATGATGTAAAGTGTGCACAAATGTAGACTATTATATTATTGTAATGATCTACTGTGGTATAGCTATTTCACCTGGCACTTAGCATACTGTGGGGACAGAACCATTTCTTAAAACCATATAGGAAACAACTACATTGTTTCCAGTGCAGACTTTTAAGGAAAATACTTTAAACAGAGGGGTAAGTGGTTGACTTCTAATCACTTCAATTGCAGACAGTCTGCCTTTAGAAAACAAAATGGTTGTGTGGGCAGCTCTATCTACAATATATGCTTGATGTGGTTCATTCAGGGGTCAGTGGTTTGGCTCCCATTCCCATGCTGGGATTATGACATTAGCCAACCTGGTTGACTCCATCCCATATGCTACCTAACACACTGACTCTCTTTTGTGGAGGGGTGTAGGCCTGGGAATCTTGGGCACTCTGTAAAATATGTACATTTACTGCTTTAAAAAAAAGGTAGGAGGAAATCAACATGCTCATATTCCTAACATTCATCATTGTAATTATTTTCACTTCTTTGAGGTCCCTCCTAGGCTTTGTTCATATGGATACTCATTTTTACATTGCAAGCACTCTGCCATGTTGCTTTAGGTATCACGTTTTCAAAGTGTAATGGCTACATAGTAGTCTACTGAGTTAATATAGCATAATTTATTAAACACTGGACTTTGAGTTTTCAAATTTGTCACTATTATAAATTACACCACGACAATATTCATTTGAATTATTTCCTTAGAATCAATTAGTTCCCTGGAGTGGGATTTCTGAGTCAAAAAGGTTGAAATTTTTTTTTTTAAAGCTGAGCCATCCTGCCACCTGTTGGAAGCTCAGCGGCAGCTCAGCTCAGGCAGGGAATCGAACCGCTGTTGCTGAGAGCTCTTGGGCAGGCTCTTAACCAACTGAGCCACTTGGCCGGCCCTAAGGTTGAACATTTTTATACTTTTGCTTTCAAGTACCACATTTACAGAAGCAGTTTTTAGACCTGAAGATTTTTAAGGAAATATTTTCACAGCTAATTGGTATTGTCCCTGAAGATTTAAATTTTATTTAAGCAAATTGTCTGCTAGAATCTCTGAAAGGCTTTTGTTTTTAAACTTTCTACCCATTCATCTACTCCTACCCCAGCTCTAGAAATCTACCTCCAACTCAGGATTCTTTGAAACATCCTTGTGGCAAAAGTCAATCTCTAATCCAAAATTGGGGGGTCTTGGCCAGTCTCCAACTAAACGAGTTCCAGACAAGGAAACATCTGATTCTCTGGCAACATATGTAAAGGCTGAGGGGTTATCAGTACAAAGATTTTCTAATCAAATTGTGAAGAAATAAGTAGCTAATTGTTCAGTTCCTGCTATAAGCCATTCAGTTACCATGCATGGAAGCTCAGAAGGTAGGAAATTTGTTTGAATTTGATATACTGGCTTAATTGACCTGAAATCTTTCCCTTGATCATGTGGAGGTTTGATGTGTTCATTGAAAACGTACAACATTCCTACGATTACACAAATTGTTCTGTCTTATCATCCGGATGTTTGCTGTTGTATAGTCATTGCCTAAGAGCATGGAGGTAATTTTTGGTTGGTGCATTGATATAAGTTAGCATTCACAAATTTGAAATTCTAATTAAAATCAATAAGGCATTGTTATGCTGCAATGAACAGGAATGGTGGGGGAAGCGAAATAGTTTAATAAATGATGAAAGTAACCACATTGCAACACTGAGAATTCTTTATAGCAACATTGGGCCAATAAACATGATTAATATCATAAAATGCAAAAATTTGAAAGATCAATTGTTGAGCAAAAATGGAAACACTCCATCATTTTAGCACTATGTCCAATATATGAATTACCTCACCATTACAGAACTGTAATTTGTAAAATGATGATCAAAACATTGACAAAGAAAGATACATTTAGAAGACACTAAATTATATCACTGATATTAATATGGTATTGCAGCATCACAGCATCAACAGCATACAGCACTACTAGAGCTGAGACCATGTCAATATTTATTTTATAAATTGAGAAACTATTGGTCCACATTCAATATTAAATGGTACATTGGGTATTAGTCTAATATTTTATACACAATATGTTCCAAATAAATTGGAATACAATTTTTTTTAAAAAAAACCTCATTAAAGGATTCCAAGGCATTTTTCTCTGTGTTTTGATGAGTGCTTTAGATGAACATATCCTAACGACTCTCATCTTTTAAACTACTATGTTAAAAATGACAGAAGGAGGGTAGTTTCTGGCTATTCCCATCTTCACTGAGTATGAATATAAGAAATTATTCTATACTCTGGAGGCAACTGTATATGAAGTGAGTGACTGAAGAATGTGGGATACCCTTGATATTTGCATTAGAAGGCATTAAAATTCTGGACACATTTTTGTCTTTTGACCTAAAATCTTCACCATTTTTAAGTTTATGCAAATTGACTTATGACTCAACTTGGAAGCTTCTGTAGTTCCAAATTTTGCAATGCCTATTTCCCTTTGCCAATTTGTAATAACATTCATGGCCCTTGAAGCAAAATATTTTAACCAATCGAATCTAGTATAAATCCTTTTTTTTAACACTATGTAGAGGGCTTGGGTATCCACCTCCATTTTCCTATGTATGTATGCATGCATGTATGTATGTATGTATGTATGTATCTATCTATCTATCATCTATCTAACTCTAGATGTATTAGTTTGCTATGACTGCCATAACAAAATGCCATATACTAGAGATTAATGTTTGTGTCCCCCCAAATTCATATGTTAAATCCTCATCCCAATGTAATTGTATTTCGAGTTGGGGCCTTTGGGAGGTGATTAGGTCATGAATGGAATAAGTGACTTTACAAAAGAGATGCGCAGAGCTCCTGAACCCCCTTTTGCTATATGAAGACACAGCAAGAATAGTGCTCTCTATGATCCAAGAAGGAAGCCCTCACAAGATATTGAATCTGCCAGCACCTTGATCTTAGGTTTCTAGCCTCTGGAACTGTAAGAAATAAATTTATTTTTATAAACCACCCAGTCTATGGTATTCTTGTTATAGCAGCCCAAATGGACAAAGACATCACGGAATAGGTAGCTTAAATGACAAAAGTATATTTTATTATAGTTCTGGAGGCTACAAGTCCAAAATCAAGATGTCAGCAGGTTTGGTTTTTCTTGAGGCATCTCTTCCTGGCTTGCAGATAGCCACTATTCCCCTGTATCCTTACATGGTCTTTCATCTGTATGTACACATTCCTCATATCTCTTTGCATGACTAAGTTTTATCATCTTATAATGACACTAGTCAGATTGGATTAGGGCCCACTATCATGGCCTCATTTTAACTTAATCACCTCTTTAAATATGTTATATCCAAATGTAGTCACATTATGAGATACTGGGGGTTAAGGCTTTAACATGTGAATTGGGGGTGGGGGACAATTCAGCCCATACCACTAGAGTATGCACCCTTTACCGAACCAGATCATACTAGCTTTGTAAGGGAATCCCTCTAGTAAATAGAAAAACTGGATAGTATTTCAACAAGGCATGTCTAAGAAACCACGTAGGCAGTGGGTTGAGGAAAATATCATCAAAGTCTTCATCTTTCACTTAAGAAACTTGATATTAAGTATAAACCTAATCAAAACCAGTTTTAAATAAAGAAAGTTAATGTAGAAAATGCAGTAGCCAAGACATGGAAACAACCAAAGTATGAGAGATGACGCATAAAGTAGATGTGATATGTATACATATATATATGTATATATATATATATATATATGTATACACACACACACACAATTGAGTACTACTCAGCCATAAGAAAAGATGAAATACCACAATTTGTGACAACATGGATGGATCTTAAGATTATTATGGTAAGCAAAATAAGTCAGACAGAAAAAGCTACCAACCATATAACTTCAGTCATATGTATGATATAAAACTGAAAGCAACAAAGGAACAAGGCAAACAAAGAAAGAAACAAAAACTCATAGACACAGACAATAGTTCAGTGGTTACCAGAGGTTAGGGGAGAGAGGGTAGTAGATGAGAGTAAAACAAATCAAATATATGGTGATGGAAGGAGAACTGACTCTGGGTGGTGAACACACAATGCAATATATAGATGATATATTATAGAAATGTACACTTGAAACCTATTTAATTTTACTAACCACTGTAACCCCAATAAACTTAATCAAATAAAGAAAGTGCAGCAAATTCTCAAGAATTGAATAAATGATTTTAGCTTTTCAGTATCAACTACTTATCACTATTTTAGCTTAATGTGTAGAACTAAAGGTATAAAATAAATAGTATAGAGATTTTTACTGCATTAATACTATAGTTAATTAATTTAATCTTAAGTTTTCCAATAAGAAAGCTAGAGAGAACTACTTCTTTT